TGGGCGGGTCAGGAGAGGTCTGCCACACCATGTGGTCACCTCCGGGGCAGGTGGGAATCGAACTCATGCGGAAGTGGTTTCAGCTTTAGTGCAGTGCTTTAACCCGCTGCACCACCAGGGAGGGCCTAAACTGTATACTCTTAAGAGGCCTCATACCACATCTTTTGCTAGGACTGTTTAGATGATTACATATCCAAGAAGTCTTAGAAATGTTTTCTTTAACCGGTATGGCTAGGGTGAATCTATTGTCAAAAAGTTTTAGGGTTAATCTTGCTTTCAATTTCAGTCAGTCTTTCCAGATTTTAAGTTCTTTATGTTATATTATAGTATTAACTACTTCTAATGGAGGTATGGGCATGTAATCTATACAGTCATTACGTAACCTCGAGTCTCATGAGTCTCATTGCTCCTAGCTTTTTTATTTTGCTCCTAGTTTTTTAAAAGAATATATTAATAGTATGACATAGCAGGAAGTACATGTTTTGGAGACAGGTAGATCTGGGTCCAAATCCATCATTCACTTGTATAATATGGATGTGTTGCTTAACCCAAATTAACTTCTCTATACAGAATAAAACCTGATTTTACAAGGTTGCTGTGATTTAAACATCCCATGTAAAACACGCACAGTACAGTACTTAAAAGAGGTGGTAGCTGTTAATATGGCATCTATTAGATGTGAGCTCTGTAATCTCTTGTGCATGAAATACAAAGCAAACAAGTGGCACTGGTAACAACACATTTATTTATGTACCCTGTTGTGTGACCGGGAGGTGCTCTTTCACTTTCAAGTAACTTAATTATAACAATTAAAATTCCAGAAGGTTAAGCTAGTTATTGTTGCTCATGAGCATAAGTAAACAGACATGATACCACATAATGGATTAAACACGTCTAAACTTTTGGTATAGCTTTGAATATGGACCAGTAAACTTTGGCAATGGACCTAAGAAATTACCAGTATGCTTCAAAATACTATGGCTTTCTTCAGACAAAACAGGAAAAACTTGTACGTAACTTTTGAATTTCAAAATTAAAGATTTGTAGGAAGCTGGAAAAGGCCAACATTACTTATGCCTATTGTAATTATCATAAATGTTTTGCTATTAAAATCATGGTAGGCAAGCAGTCAACAAATTGCTCATTTCATTTTGTACACTTTTTTTTTTTAATTCTCCTAAGATGGTAGGCAATATTTATTTTCAAGTAGTTGTAACCTGCTAACCTTTGTGGACAAGTTAAAGGAATTCAGTCACCCCAAATAGTTATAGGGTATGTAAAACTGGATTTTGTATTAGAAATTACCATTTCTAAGAGACTGCATCACATAGGATGTGTCCTTTCAGAAACATTGCATTCCTTGCTTCAAATCATACAGCATGTTATTTCTAGAGAATTTGATAATAAATGGGTACTCTTTGCAGGAGTAGGAAATAGGAATGTGCTGGTCACCAAGGATGAGATTTTATATAACATTAAATTAAAATTATATACTGTTGGAAATAGACAAGATCGGGAGTTCCTAGATCCTAGAAAATATTATGGCTAAGGAAATAGAGAACTCAAAAAGAAATCTGCCTCCAAGAAACTAATTTAATATAGTAAAATAGAATCAAGTGCCCTGTCTTAGGAAAAAGTTTAAGGAACAACTGGGACATCAAACATCATTTCTTTGGAGATTAAAGTGCAGGCTATGAAATGGCATATAAAATAATGCATAAAATAGTGCAATGCCATTTTAAAATTACACATAGCCTCATGTTCACATCCTTTTTTCCTCAAAAGTCCAGCTGTAGTGACAATTTTTAGCTTATTTATTTAACCTTACTTATACTTGTTACCCACCTTTGGGGCTAGAGAAATATTTTAACAAGTAGAATAACAACACACATTTTGAAACTACTAGAAATTAAGGCAAGCCCCATTAAAGTTCAGTATTCCCCCAAGAACATTTTACAAAAAAAGTTGACCCCAAAACTAGTGGCTTTTGATGGCACCCCAATAGTCTTCAAAATATGATTGCTCTGAATTCATTTGTATCATTATTTCCAGGCTTGTACATCAAAAAGGAGCTTGTAAAACAACAGGTTCTATAACCTCATGTTCTGAAGTAATTAATCATTTCAGGAATATGTGAGAACCAAGCCTAGTCCATGTGGGACATAGCAGAACACCCTGCTGGGGTGGGGTGGGTACAGTCTTCATGTCACATATGTCTGTTCACATTTCCTTTAGTGTTGCACAATAATCAATTTGCAAGTGGGAACAACCCATTAAAATAGAAATGTCTCTTCTGAAAAACAGCCAGGGAAGATGACAAGAACACTTATGAAATGCTGTTCTAGGACAACACAATATTAATACAGCATTTAAGTTAGTCATATAATCCAGGGTAGGATGGTTTTCTCTCAGGAAGCTAATTTACGATTTCCCTGTAACATGTCAGTTTTAGTTGATCAAAATAATTTGTGGTGTGTTGAATTTTAAATACCTTCATACTATCCAAAAATATAACAACTGTCAAATAGGTCAAGGCAATATCCCAACATATTTTAGCTAGGTAGTTTAATAAGATTTAAAACAAACAACTGAACTGTAGTGTTTTATTCTCTGTTGTTACGGAACATTCATGCATTAACAAGTGCGACTCATTCTTATGGACAGGTGATTACAGTGTATACTGTAGAAATTTGAATTTTGAAACAGCAAATCTACCTTCTAATAGAGTGAATGCTCATTATGAAAGCCAAATTCTCATGTTAACTAATGGAAGACTGTAGATACATTTAGGGTCTCTAGATGTAGTTTAAAAAGAAATTCAGGAAACTTTAAATGAGTCATTAACAACTACTAAGGAAATAATCTGAGGTTATATCCCTTTGATGCATAAGGATCATACTTTGTTAACCTGTAAACATGTACTTTGTTACTTAAAAAAGCCTTCCTTTAACAAGGAAAGTAGACTATTAAAGGCCATGAGTATTCCAGTAGGCCTCCTCCGAAGTTATGACAATATGGCTAAATCCTATGATTACAAAAATGAGATCTGCTGAGAAAATAAGTCCCAAGATGTGGACTTTTATGGATGACCTTAGCTGACAAGTGTTGTTTGGAAACTTTATTATTTTAATATTACCTTCCCAACAAACCATGAAACATTTGGATGTTACCTTATGGCATTTCATTGAAAACAGACTTCATTGTAAATGGAGTTTCAAAGTGAGACATTGCATTGATCAAAATCTAAGGACAATGTTATGGAAGGACAGTATTAAAAATGGGTAAGAAAAATTTTCATTTGGTGAAGTTAACCTAAAAGATGCAAATCCATGTCATGTTGGATGGATAAAAAAGGTGGTCCCCTTGTGCTTTTCTTCAACTAAGGTACTTACCAAAACCTTAAGATTTATACAGGTGTCCAACTCCCACCCGGAAAGGGATAGTTTTCTACATTACACCTAAATTTATTTTAAATAACTGAAGTCCAAAGCAACAGTTGTTTAAAAGAACTTAACAGTAAATAGTAACTACATAATTTAGTACATTAAAATAAAACTAGGACAGTATAGCTGAATGTTTCAAAAATATACAAGTGGGAAAAATAACCACCGTACACAATTTGGAGGTTGTTTAAAGTGACCACTCAGAAGGTTGAACAGTGCAAGACATGCTTTTCCAGTTATAAGCTCAAAATAGGAGTGCAAACGAAATTAAAGCTTTTGTTTAAAGTTGTAGGAAAAGGAAAGCTTGAAATTATTAAAAAGCTTCCCTCAGGTCATTCCCCAGAAATGAAATGATCAAAATGCTTGTTTATGGTAAAATTTTCTCAATGAGCTTTTTTTCAAAGGCAAAACTGCATCCCACAAGTTGAGTCCCTACTCAGTCATCACATTGGATCAACGGCCCACACAGTGGTGAGAGTAAGGAACAGTACTAGTTACCAGGGGTCTGATATTGATAGAGCCTTGGAATTTGGGGTTCTGCCTTAGCCAGTATACCTGAACCTACAGCGAATAGGTAAAGCAACAGGGCTTTACTACTCTTATGCCTGTAAAACTGGAGGACAAATGGACTAATAAATCCCTTCCCCTAGAGGCAAGCCATTGTGGTGGAAGATGTTAAGCACTTAAATAAACCAAGACACTGCTCTAAAAAGTGGAGAAGTATAGAGGTTCAAGATCAACACCAGTGCAAGAGCTTTTTAAGTGAGCTGACTAGGCAATGCATGCATCCATCCATGCAAATGTAGGACATGGCCCCCAAAGAGAACTGAAAACATATGTAACAACTGGATAAATCCCTTGCCAGCAATTTATAAAAATATATAGTCAATACTGTAGAGGCCCCTTCTACAGTCAATACTATGGAAGTCCATTTTTAGTTACCCATTATTTCAATACCAAAAAGCATTTACTACTTTTCAGACATTCCAGACAAAGGTCACTTATAACAAAAAGTCAACTTTTTTTAAACAAGATATTGTCCATTGAAAAAGTAGATCTTTTCTTTCAAGTGAACAGGACATTTTCTGTATTAAACTTAACTTCTAGTCTATCAAGATTGGTTCGTTTTAGATCCTTATGTAATGTGCATATACGCAGAAACAAATAAACTTACTTTAAACATTATCTGCACAGAAAAAAAGTTAACTCCTTAAACATGATAGAACAGGTCTGGTTAGTACAAATCTATTGCAAAGTAAAAAGATTCTGTGCATCAGTTCAACCAGGAGAAGCGGGAAAAGAATGTCCCAATCATGACAGTTCAAGTTTAAGTTGTGTTCTGAAAGCCTAGAAGCCTAAGAGACACTATGCTGCTCACAGTATCCTGATACGCATAATTGCTTAAGCTGCTAAGCCAGTGTCTTCCTCTGCAGCTAGAACCACACTTCGATTTACTTTCTATTCCGGAGGCGTTTAGATTTCCTAAGCGAGTCTATGGCTTCTGCAGCCTTTTTTCGTTTCTGAGGAGACTCTTCATTCTGCCCGGACCCTGAGGAGTTTCCCACTGCACTTTCCATGACTTCTCGCAGTTTGCGCTCCAGCTCTGCCAACCGCGCGTTCTGTTCACCTATGATCTGGGTTTGCTCTAGCAGTTTCTGGTCTTGGTCTTGAAGCTGTTTCTGCTGTTCTTGCACTTTGGTGCGAAGCTCAGAAATTTCACGCCTGAGAACAGTCACACCAGCACCATTGGTCTTAACCTGCTGCTGAAGTTTGGTAACCTCTTGTCTCGAAGGGTTTTGCTTGGAGAAAAGCTGCATTGTTGTTAGGGCTGCAGAAGGTCCTGGAACTGTGGAGAATTAGTTAAAAATGGTCAATCACTTAAAAGAGCTATCAGCAATCAAAAACAGTGAATTAAACTTACTTTAAAATGGGTATAAAATCCCCTTATATCATCATTTGGAAAACTTCTTTGCAGTCTACCTGGGTTAGTATCAGACACCTTATTTTTTTTTTTTAAAGTTTATTTTTACATCATTTTGCACATTTTTTTTTCATCTCCATTGTAATCCCCACGGGTTTCCCATCACCAAATCACCCCTGTGCCACCACCATAGTCCCGTGCATTTCCATCCCTCCCACCCCGTTTTTGATCCCATTCCCCACATCAGACACCTTATTTTAACTGTGAATGAGTTTAAATGGTAATTCTCATGTTCATGTGGTAATATGAGGAGTCAAAGAAAATACAAGTAGTAAAATTGGAATGTCATTATTTTCTAGCTTATTTCATATAAGCAAACAATCTTTCATACTAAAAGTACAGATCTATCATAAGTCGAAGTTCTCTCTAAACTCAATAGTATGCAAAGAATTTAACTTTAGCCAAATAATAGGAATACTATAGAAGAATCGGTTGCATCATATGTGATCGTCATGAAAAATTTCTGACGTGGTTAGGAAGACTTTGGATCTATTCTGCTTAGGGATAAATCATGTGCATAAAATTTTCACTGTTTTAAACTAATTCCTTTTTTAAGTGTTATCTCTAAAGGTTTTCTAAAAGGAGAGATCCACCTATTCTGACCCTAAACTCATCATGCTAATTTGCTCCTTGTTCATCTTAAATAAGCAGAATATTTTCCCTGACAGATATATTATTCCTTCTTTCTCTGCTTATCTTTCCCTAGCTTCCACCTGCACATCAAAGCTCAAAGTAATTTTTTTTAAAGTTTGTATGTGTGTGTGTGTACAGAACTAGGGTACAGGCCAGAAGTGCTGGGGCGGTGAGAGGATTCACCAGAGACAGAGTGGGGAGCAGAATAGGCTGACTGACGAAGTACAATGCTGAGGGGAGCAGCGGGCAGGAGAGGTCTGCACCTTAGGGTGGGGAATCAAACTTGCACTGAAGTGGCTGCTGCTGGCTTGCAGTGATGCGCTTTAACCCATCGCGCTACCAGGGAGTGCCCTCAAGTCAATTTTTACCTCTTGTGAAGAGTGAATAAGACCAGTCAACAAGGATCATTTTCCTGAAGAAATTTTCTATTTTGGATAAGCATTTGTTATTCAAATGGACACTCCTTCAGGATATTTCTTTTGTCTATGATAGTTTAACTGTCATTCTGGATATATATGCCTTACTTTCAAAAAAGTAATGTGTCTCCAGGACACAATACAGTGCTGTGTGCAAAATAGGTACTTAATATACAGAAGTACCAAAGCTGAGTTTTGTTACTAAATTAGAAAGAGCCACTCATTACCCCACTGAGTACTTAAGGGAGCTACCTAATCTGAACAGAACACAGCTTCACAAATTTTCCCCCGACTTTAAAGTATTTGCAAGTGTTGAGAATACTGAGCAATGTAATCTATTAGAAGATTAGAGCACAATATCTAGGATCCAATATCTTTTTGCAAAACATCTATCACAGAAATGACAGTATCCAAAATAGCCCATTAAGCCCTGTCTTTTAAAGCAGCAGTCAGATACTTTGGGGGGCTAAAATAACTCACTGGATATTTTCATGAAAATTTTTTGTTGTTTTACCTGGCTCATTTAATTTTGTTTTATGATAATGAAAATTAACCAGCCAGAAGCATCAAACACAAAAGTACAAGATACATGGTTAAATGGGCAGAGGAAGCAAGTTATAAAACTACATATGAATGTTGCTATAAATTGAACATATTATAAATAAGAGATACCTGGAGGAGAGCCCATGAGTCTTCCAGATACATCTGATCCTGGTAATTTCCTCTTTAGAATTGGAACAATCTTTTCATCAAAGTATTCCATTGCCATGGAGGAAATATCCCTTAATTCTTGAAGTACTTCATGAGCTCGTTGAGGGGCTCTGGTAGAATTCACATATCTCAACACACGATAAATCTCATCAATAACCTAAAATAATGAATTCTCATTAGCACTTTCAATTTCTTAAAAAAGAAAAACTAAATAGGGAGAGAACCGACTGCTTGTTTTGTAATTCCTGTAAAGACCTGTAAATTCCTGTAAAGTAATCTGATATTCCCACTACATCTCTTGCCCTGAAAGAAATCATAATATAACTGGGGAGACAGATGTTTAGTTAAGTGACATAAAGATGTATGTATAAACTGCTAAAGAAACTGAAAGATAAAACTAAGAAATTCAAACCTGCATTTTGTTAATCCTCTAAACCTGATTCACTCTAGCTGGAATCTATTTCCCAAAGCAGGGATTAAACTTATTTACTTCTCTCTTTCTGTACTGATACCACTTAAGTTTTTTTCTTTCAGACTTAGTATGGACTGGAAAAAGGTCTCAGTTCTCATTTCCTTGCTACCAACAATGAGTAGTGAGAGATACTTTTTTGTTTCAATGATGATTATGATGGGGAAACACAAAGCATAACACATGAAAAAGACATAAAATTCCTATAAAATTTCCTAATTTTTACTGGAAAGATATTTTTCCTGTTAGCTTTTACCTGTGAGGTTATGTTAATACTTTCCTTGGTTTCAGCATAGAGCTGATGATAATATTTTAATTTTGAAGATAATGATTTATAGCTCTCACTGGGCCTTTTTGTCGCAAGAACTGTGGGTTAATCAACCAAACTAATTGCCCTAAAACATATCAAGCAACCCTGAATTCCAATGCCTTTATCCACCCAGCACCCACCACTCGAACAGTTTTATAGTCTGTGTTCTCCTTTACTCAGGCCTTTGTATACTACTACAGAAATATGTAATCACTCAACTCAGTCCTTAGTATTTTATTTATTTAAAGATTTATTTATGTATACAGAACTAGGGTACAGGCCAGAGGTGCAGGGGTGGTTTCACCAGAGACAGAGTGGGGAGCAGAACAGGCAGATCAACAAAGTACACTGCTAAGGGGAGCAGCGGGCAAGTCAGGAGGGGTCTGCCACACCATATGGATCACCTCCCTGGCCAGGAATTGAACTTGTGCTACAGTGGCTGTGGATAGCTTCACAGTGCTGGGCTTTAACCTGTTGTGCCACCAGGGTTAATATTTGATAGACTCAGTGCATGGGATGACCCTTGTCAGTTTAGCATCATGTATGCCTAACAAATGCCAGCAAAATGAAACTGTTAGGGTAGATCCTCAGGTGAACCTGAGAAGATTCCACAGGAGTAGCCACACCTGTGAGCCTGGAGAGACGGACAGGAGTTAGGTTGGGTGGAGTTGGTATATACACACAGCTATAAGAGATAAGACATGTTGGGTTCCAGTTACATGGGACGTACAGGTGATACTACCAGCAAGCAGCTGGAAATACAGGTTGGACATTCAGGAAAAAGTGCAGATGACAGAGAGGCCTCAAGCCAATGTCACTGAAGGGACTGGCAGTGTGAGGGAGAAGATGCAGAAAAAGATAGTGGCCAAATCTTGAGGCACTAATGGTTAAGTCATACATTTCTAGAATAACAATCCCATTTTAGAAGAAAGTCACATCTTTTAATAATAATTTACTGAACCACCCAGTCAGAAATTATTATATGTATTGAAAAAAAGAAAGAAAAAAAGTACTTCCCCTTGGCCTTAAAAAAAAAACAAAAACAAAAACCCACCACTTAAGTTTGATCCTCCCAAACACTACAACTCATCAACAGTATCCAATATGTAACTTTAAGTTGTCAGTTTGTACAAGGAATTCTCACTTAATGGCCATGTGCAATTCTTTACATAGTGAAAACCCCCAATCTTAGGATGACCATGTTAAAATAAACATGAAAGGTTCTCTCAGGACTACTACTCCTAACTAAGAACTGGGACTACCCTCTTCTTAGCCTATATTTTTTTTATAGTTATATATCCCAAAATGGCAAGCTGCCTCTGCTCACAAGTACTTCTCTATGTGTGAACTGCTGACACCGACCATGAGTTTGTGATTATGCTTGACTTCTATATATCAAATACAAAACCTGAGAAATGTAAACAAGAGTAAACCAAAAACTGGTAAGCTCTTAGTCCTGAGAGAAGATGAATGGGACATCAGTGTAAAGTCAGGAGTAGACACTATGGCCCTATCTAAAGTGTACCTGCTTTTCAAATAGGTTTTACTGTAACACAAATGTACACATTCGTTTTACCACATATTGCCCATGGCTGTTTGTCAGGGTTGAATAGTTGTGACAGAGTTCATGTGGCCCACAAAGCCAGAAATATTTAATATCTGGCCCTTTACAGGAGAAGTTTTCTGATCCCTGCCATAGATGACAGTGGTAAGCTCCTAACCAGTCTGAACTTTTTAGACAAGTTTTCTTTTAATGCCCTTAAGTATTAGTATAGTTTATTTTTCAGGAAACCCCATTTAAAATTTTTCCAGTAACTAATTCCTAGGTTTTCTTTTTTATAAAGATTTATTTATTTATGCATACAGAACTGGGGTGGAGGCCAGAGGTGCAGAAGCAGTGAGAGGGTTCACCAGAGAGAGTGGGGAGCAGAACTGGCAGACTGATGAAGTACACTGCTGAGGGGAGCAGCAGGCAGGTCAGGAGAGGTCTGCTGCGCCATGTGGGTCACCTGCGGGGCCCAGGATTGAACTCACACTGAAGTGGCTGTGCCTCCCTTGCAGTGCTGCGCTTTAACCTGTTGCGCTTCCAGGGAGAGCCTAATTCCTAGGTTTTCTGAGTAAGGAGGGCAATGCTCTAGCTTGTTGGAAAGGGCAATTGTAGGTTTAAGTCACTGTTAAATACAGACCCTGCACCATCCTGTTTTAGACTTACCCTTTCAGGTCTGCTGGAGAGTTCGATTCTAGAACTTTCTAGTAGTTCAAACTTTCTCAATTCTGCCATGTCAGCTACCCTTTGTTTCCCTACTTTCAGGCTTCCAAAATTGAAATGATACTGCCCTTTCCAATCCTGTTCTCATGGGTCTCTGTTGCTTTTTCCTTTTTTTTTTTT